TCTTCATAGCACTTACAGTATTTTTTTTCTTAGTGTGTGTCCACCATAGCAGAAAGTAAATTCCATGAGGTTAAGAACCTTGTTCTATTCACTGCTGCATCCTCAAAACCCAGAACGATGTCTGGCACAAGGAAGGTACACAATGTGTTCAATGACTGAATTCACTGGCTGACATGGCAAAAACACATTCTTCAGAGACATATGTACTCATCTAGTATTTTTTTTAATTACAGTAAACAAAGATTTAGCAATTTGGACAGAAAACAAGTATTTTACAAGATTACCTGTTCATCAAAAGGACCACAAATTTACAGCACCAAAATTGCCATATTATGGATCTTAAATCCCTTCAAATATCATAGTTACGAGGTTAACATTCACACCAGATTAACCAAGCTTCTGACTTCACCCTACCTACTCTCTTACTCTTACATCTTAACTAGCATGTCCAATGACAGAATGCTTCAAATGACAGTAACATCTATCTAATTTCCTAAGACGAAACCCTCCATCTTCCTTCTATTCCAGGATGAGTTACTAGGTCCCGAATTCTACTTCTTAAAGTCTCAGATCTATCATCTCTGTTCCCCTCCCACTGCATTAGTTCAGGCCCTTATTCATTTTCTACTTGGACTTCTTATCTGGAATTTCCACTTTTATATTCAGCTCTCCCCATTTTTCGCAGTGGCCTGATCTCAACTCACTGCAACCTCCACCTCCTGGTTCAAGCAGTTCTCATGTCTCAGCCTCCCGAGTAGCTGGAATTACAGGAATGCACCACCATGCCCAGTTAATTTTATATTTTTAGTAGAGACAGGGTTTCACCATGTTGGTCAGACTGGTCTCAAACTCCTGATCTCAGGTGATCCGCCCACCTAGGCCTCCCAAAATGCTTGGATTATATGCATAAGCCACCACACCTGGCCTCAGCACTCCCCCCCCTTTTTTTTTTTTTTTTGAGACCGAGTTTTGCTCTTGTTACCCCCGCTGGAGTGCAATGGCCCAATCTCGGCTCACCACAACCTGGGCTCAGGCAATTCTCCCGCCTCAGCCTCCTGAGTAGCTGGGATTACAGGAGGCACACGCCACTATGCCCAGCTAATTTTTTGTATTTTTAGTAGAGACGGGGTTTAACCATGTTGACCAGGATGGTCTTGATCTCTTGACCTCATGATCCACCCGCCTCGGCCTCCCAAAGTGCTGGGATTACAGGCGTGAGCCACCGCGCCTGGCCAGCACTCCCTTTTTTAGGCAACAGTCTTGCTCTGTCACCCAGGCTGGAGTGCAGTGGCACGATCTTGGCTGACTGCAACCTCTGCTTCCCAGGTTCAAGCGATTCTATTACCTCTGCCTCCTGGGTACCTGGGACTATAGGAGCATTCCACCACATCCCACTAATTTTTGTATTTTTAGAAGAGACAGGGTTTTACCATATTGGTCAGGCTGGTCCTTAAACACCTGACCTCGTGATCCACTTGCCTCAGCCTTCCAAAGTGCTGGGACTACAGGTGTGAGCCACAGCTGCACCAATGCTCCCTTTTGATGTATTCACTACAGTACTACCAAAGTGATTATGATGCAAATCCAGTATCATTACTCCTTAAACTTTCAGGCCAGGTGTGGTGGCTCACACTTGTAATCCCAGTACTTTAAGAGGCCAAAGCGGGTGGATCACCTGAGTTCTGGAGTTCAAGACCAGCCTGGCCAACATGGTGAAACCCCATCTCTACTAAAAATACAAAAATTAGCCAGGATGGTGGCAGACGACTGTAATCCCAGCTACTCAGGAGGCGGAGGCAGAAGAATTGCTTGAACCCAGGAGGTGGAGATTGCGGTGAGCCCGAGATTGCGCCATTGCATTCCACCCTGGGCAACAAGAGCAAAACTTCATCTTAAAAAAAAAAAAAAAAAAACTTTCAATGGTTCCATATAGTTTTCAAAAGAGGTTCCCCTTTGTCACCCAGGCTGGAGGAGTGCAATAGTATGATCTTGGCTCACTATAACCTCCACCTCCCATGTTCACGCAATTCTTCTGCCTCAGCCTCCCTGATAGCTGGGATTACAGGTGTGTGGCACCATACCCTGCTGATTTTGTATTTTTAATAGAGACAGGGTTTCACGCTCTTGGCCAGGCTGGTCTAGAACTCAGGTGATCCACCTGCTTCAGCCTCCCAAGGTGTTGGGATTACAGGCATGAGCTACCATACCCAGCCAAGAAAATTTTCAACTTACAGTTTCCAGATAACTTGACCTTGTTTTGTTCATTTTCCAGTATGTTATCCTCTATCTGAAAAACTCTCTTCTTCCCATCTTTGCCTAGCAAAAGCCTTCACATTCAGCTTAGATGTCAACTCTGCCAGAAAACTTTCCACAGCTCTCTGATTTAGATGTCCTCTTCTATCCTCCCATAGCATTTCCTACAATTATTTGATGTTGGAATACTCTTATAAATCAATATGCTGATTTTGCTAAATCAACATGCTGAAATTGCTAAAAACATGTAACACTTAAAACAGCATTTTCATTGAAACGTAAAAACAACTGAAAAGTATTACTACATAGTCTTTCAATCACCTCAATAAACAGTCAGTTAATAAAATTTATAGATCTGTTGTTAATACAACAGACAATTCAAACTTAAAACCTTGCTACAAAGTACAAATATGTTTGGTAAAATCCAATAAATGGCATAAAACCTTTTCTAGCTCAATGATCATCGTAATACAGAAACTACAGTGGCATGGTGACTCTCTCCTGCAATCCTAGCATTTTGGGAGGCTGAGATGGGCGAATCACTTGAGCCTAGGAGTCCAATACCAGTCTGGGCAACAAGGCAAAACCTCATCTCTACAAAAAATACAAAGATTAGCCAGGTGTGCCTTTAGTCCAGCTACTCAGGAGGCTGAGGTGGGAGGATCATTTGAGCCCAAGAGGCAGAAGTTTCAAATCCCGCCAGCCAAGGTAAAACAGTGAGAGACTCGTTTCAAAAAGAAAGAAAGAAATTGGGAAACATAGAAAAAGAAAGAAAAGTTAAGCCTAATATAATCAACATTAAATAAATTCTGAATTGCAATTTTTCCTAAAGCAAAATACAAATTACAAGAAGCTTCTCATCTCCTGTCACACAAGGAATAAATTTGTAAAAAAACAAGCTAAGTTTTTAGTACTAATGATTACTAGCAGATTCTCTAAGAGAAGATTTGCTATACTTATAATAAGAGGAAGTTCTTACACAAAGGTAGAAATTTATTTTAGTAACTCTTTTTTCTTTTAACATTAAAAGTACCTTTTTTAAAAAGGCAGTAAGAATGGAAATGCTGAGCAATTAAAATTAGTAGTTCTAAAATGATACCCAAAAATTTGCATTTGGCTAGAATTACCAGGAAACTTTTAAGGCTAAAGTTTCCAACATACTTTCATTTTTTTTTTTAAACAGACTAGTTAAAAAAAAAAAAAAAACAAGGAAATGAAACAAAGAAAACAAATTCTAATCTCAAAGACTTTCAACTTAACTACATTTCTTTTAACCAAACATTTACAGAGCACCTAAGAAGTGACAGGCACTACAACACTGGGACCTGTGCCAGACTGCATTTGCTCCAAACTAAACCTTTTATTTATTCAGCTTCTGAACTTATTCTATATTATTCAACCCAAAACTTTTCTTAAGAAATTCTCATCCAACACCAAGGTGCATGTATGAGTTACCTAGTAAATGCACTTTTCACCGTTTTACACAGGTCCCGAAAGTTATAGCTAGTATTTGTGACTAATAAAAGGGATTCATTCCTGAAACATCACTATGCTGTTTTCATTTACACAAAAGGGAGACAGGCATAAACTGTTTCAGGCAGTTTGCAGAATCTACCCGACTAAACTTAATTACTGTGTATAGTAGATCAAGATTTAAGTAGCCACAGCTTTTTCTTTCTTGTATAAACACAAGTATTACAAATATTAATTTGGATAATAATCAAGTGTCATGTCAAAGCAGTCTTGATTCTGAGGACAAGTGAAATATTTTTTAAACAGTTCAAAGGAACTGTCAAGGATGACTTTGGGACCGAGATATCCTCTAAAACAACCTTTATGTTCTAACATGCTCTCTGTTGCATTTCTATACCTGTAAATACACTCTACTTTTCAAGCACTTCTGAATTTGCAATGGATGAAAAAAATATAAGCTAGTGTCTAAGTTCCACCAGTTGCATCTAGACTTTTGAAAAATCTAAGGTTTTATTCTAGCATGTGCTAAAAATACATATTCTCTAAAGCAGCAAAAAAAAAATACCTGTACTTTTATCGTTATGATTTCTTCCAACAATTAAGCAAGTTGTTTGATCCTATTCTCCACTCAGTTAACATGTTTACACCTAAGAGGAAGCTGACCATCAGTTTTCCACACATCACAATGCAACAGAGCCTCTAACTTATTTGCAGACCAACCTGATCAATAAAGAAAAATAAACTATATAATCCCAAGTCCTTCGAAATGCAAGAAACAACTGCTATCTCTCAACTGCGAAAAGTTCACCAAAATTCTCTTTTAAAAATCTTCCAATTAAGATTATTTTTGTGACTAGTCAAAGAATATTCTGCTAAAATTTTACAGTACTGTTTACACAATAAATGAGATTTTCTTTCATCAGTGTAACTGATAGAACCACAATACAGTTCAGTTTCTAGAGAGTCAGATTACCTGACCTGCTTTTTATTTTATCTTTTAAAACACTTTAATTCATACCGTTATTCTCATTCCCTACAAAAAGAGGCGTTCAATATGGGAGAACCATCTTCAGTTGAGATAACCTATAACTGCCTCCAACTCCACAGCAAAGCCCTCGAGCTGACCCCGATGTCTTTCTGGGGAAGGGCTCGGTCACCAAGCCATCAAACACACCTTCCTCTGCAAAACTCGGAAGCCCCACACGACGATCTCGTCCAAACCCCCTACTTCCTGAATTCGACAACCCCAGAAATTCGTTTTCTGCTGGCAATCTTACCTTCATGATGACTCTGGGACCGAGATATCCTCTAAAACACCAGGTTCACCTGCACCTGGAGGGGAAACAAAAGACACTCAGTCAACACCACAGGCAGCCCTCCGCACTGGTGGAGGCGGAGGGAAGGAACCCAGCGACACCCGAACCCCGAAGAAAGAGCCGCACCGGGGCGCCAGCCCCGAGCCAACACACGCCTACTCGGGGCTCCCTCGGGCCCCGCCATCCCCGCAAACCCAGCCACCTACACAGCTCGGCGGCTTCCCGTCCCCATTGTCGAGACCCGACGGAGTTTCCCGTCTACGACAATGACGCCATTTCTGTCAGAGAAGAAACTCACAACAAGCCCGGCGTCCGGCGCAAGGCCGGCCGCTCTCCCCGAGGGCCTCGGCACCCGCCCCAGCGAGTCCGCGCCCCCACGGGCCGAGTCGGAGCGGGAGGCCAGCCGGGGGCCGCCGAGGGGCCAGGGGGGCCTGTGGGCCGCGGGCAGGACCGGCCCGCTGCAGAGCCTCTGCCCACGTCCCGTTCAGGGCGCAGACCCCACAAGTGCAAGCGGGATCAACATCGGGCCCCGCTGCGGGGACAACGTGAGGACCGAGGGCCCCGGAGGCGGCACGGCCCCTACCCTGCGCCCGGGCCCCCCCACCGTGGCGGCTAAACCGCTGAGTGTGCGGCCGCCCAGCCAGGAGGCGGCTCGGACACGGCGACTGCGAGGGGTGGGGGCTCCTGGGAGGCCGAGGCCCCGAATACGGACGCCACGGGGACCACCACCGCGATCTTCCTCTGCTCCTCAGCTGGGCCCAGCGACTCCCAAAAGGACCCCCCCTTAGGAGACCACGAAAGCCCCACATAACGTCCCTACCTTCCTCGGAGGCGAGATCTGACCCTGGTACGTCCAGAGTCCCCTCTCTCCTCCTCCCCCCCAAAACCAGCAGGCCCGGGGGAGAGATGGGGAAGAAGGGCGGCGGGTCCAGCGGCTGCTGAGGCAGAGGCTCCGGCTCCTCCTCCTCCCGCGGCGGCGACTGGTACCTTTGTTTGGCGGCCGCTCGGGCTCCCTGGTTGGGGGGAGGGGGACGACGAAAAATCCCTCCCGGACTGGAGGTCCGGGCCCCCAGTCGCGCTGCCCTCCAGAGGACGGCGGCGATGGACCCTCTGCAGCTCCCTCCGGGCAAAGGTCCAGGCGGTGGCCGCGGCGGCGGCAAGCTGAAGCTCAAGAGTCTCCCTCCGCTCCGGCGACCCAGCTCCTCACTCCGGACTCGACTGACGGGCAAACATCGCTTCCCCCCCAACTCGAGGTCCCCCCCCCGCCTCCTTTCTCCCCTCCCCTAGATCTTTTCCCCCTCCCCTACCTCTTTCCCGGATGGCCTCTTAGACGACCTCGGATTGGTTGAAGTTCTTTAGAACCCACCTATACCCTGTTCCTAGTGGTCCCTGGATACAAACAACGACGCCATTTTCCCACCAGTTCTATGGAAACAGAAAGTTACGCCTCAAAGCTTCCTGGGAAATGGAGTCCAATCTATTGGGCAAACGCGCAAATCCTCGTCCGCGAGAACTGCAAGGCCCGCAATGCCCCGCGCCTGCGTGGGACCGGAGGCGGGGGGGGGGAGGTGAAGGGGCGGGGCAACAGAGCAGTGGGGAGGCGGCAACGACGCCTGCGCAGTGTGACCGGGATGGCGCATTTTCTTGCACCGAGTAATGCGGTGTTGCTGGCGGCTGAGGAGGGTGGAGAGTTCTGTGGTGAAATAGTGGGAGGGATTCCTGTAGGCAACGGGAAGAGCCTATGTCCACACTGTAAAGTAGGGAGTTGATGAAGTGGGCTGCTACTCCCGGACCGGCGGCGTCAAAGTCGTGATATCATCGTTGAACCGTGAGCGGCAGTGGTGGCGGCCGGGGGGAACCCGGATGGGAAGGAGGGCGGGGGAGGCTGGGAGGCGGGGCTGAGAGGAAAGAAAGAAAGGAGGATGAAGACCCGGATGCTGAACCGGATTGTATATGAATTTTCCATCCTCTCGATAGAGGCGGGGAGGAAGGGGTGGCCAAGTGGGGCGGAAGGAGGCATCTGAGCGAGGAGGAAGCAGAAGCCTCACGGTTTCTCTCCGCTCCGGGCTCTGTGCTAGCACTGTAAATGTTTGCAGCTCTCTGCCCAGCCGCTGTGGAAAATCAGCCTCGAAGTGATTCACCTTCAGTTCTTACATCAGGCAGCTTCTTTCAGATCCATCGCTCTCTCCCAGAGTTTGAGTGGAAGGATTCAGTTGCGCTTCACATTTGTATGTCTCTGTTTAGCCATTCTAAAGTCAGGCCCTTCTCTTTACAAAGAAAAACCGTTTGTTCGCTTTTTATACGCAAGGTTGTGTGCCTTGATTTCATCGTCTAATGCGTTGGAAGGCGCTTTCATTTCTTCACGGATGTTGAGCGCCGACCATGTGGAAACACGGGTTGCCTCTGCCTTCGCAGTCTTGGGCCTGGCGAGACGGACAGACGCTGAACAAAACAATGAAATCACCGTAGCGACAGTGTCACAGAGTAGAGTTCCGTGGTGATAGGAGAATGTGAACTGGGGAATTTGGCTTATTTAGGGAAGGCTTTCTTGAGCAAGTGAGGATCCAGCTGAGAGCTGAAGGGCTAGCAGGAGTTAACTAAGGAGAGAGAAAAGGAAAAGGCATTCCAGACAAGAAGACTAATTTGTTGGAAAGCCTTGTGGCCGAAGTGGGCTTTTCCAGTATGAACTGACCCTGGAGAGGTGGGTTCGGGGGGAGCGTGAAAGCTTATATAGGCTTTGCAAAGGAGTTTTGTATTTGTCCTAATAGCAGTGGGATGTCTTCCAAGGAATCTCAATCAGAAGGGAGAGATGAGTCAGATTGCAATGTCATTCCTGGCTGAAGAGTAGAGGAAGTGGGGGGAAAAAAAAGAGTTAAAGAGGCAAATTCAGGGAGTCGGAGGAGGAGGCTATTGCAGTAGTAGTTCAATAGCAGTGGGATGTCTTCCAGGGAATCTCAATCAGAAGGGAGAGATGACTCAGATTGCAATGTCATTCCTGGCTGAAGAGTAGAGGAAGCGGGAAAAAAAGAGTTAAAGAGGCAAATGCAGGGAGTCGGAGGAGGAGGCTACTGCAGTAGAAGTTCACATGGTGAAAAGAATGAAGTGTTTGTATTAATCTTTATGTATTCACTATTTGAAAAAATTTCTGGCAGCTTTTTAATTTTGAAAGTGAGAAGTTACCGCCGGGTGCGGTGGCTCAAGCCTGTAATCCCAGCACTTTGGGAGACCGAGGCGGGTGGATCACGAGGTCAACAGATCGAGACCATCCTGGTCAACATGGCGAAACCCCGTCTCTATTAAAAATACAAAAAATTAGCTGGGCATGGTGGCGCGTGCCTGTAATCCCAGCTACTCGGGAGGCTGAGGCAGGAGAATTGCCTGAACCCAGGAGGCAGAGGTTGCAGTGAGCCGAGATCGCGCCATTGTACTCCAGCCTGGGTAACAAGAGCAAAACTCAGTCTCAAAAAATAATAATAATAATAAAATAAAGAAAGAAAGTGAGAAGTTTCAGACTCTCAGTGAGAGTCTGAATTCTGTAGTTTATTCACTCTAAAAGGAAACTAATAGAGTTCATGTAACACACACTATTGCCCCTTTACATTCAAGTTTAGTTAGTACATGATAGCTGACAATTCCAGCGGTGATAAAATGGGAAATCCTTTGACTTAAAAGAAAAACAAAGGCGGGTAAGAGTATATGCCATAGTGGGTAGAATCCCTCAGACTCTTGAGAAGACACAAGGCAAATTGACTGTTGATACCTAGAAAAATTGAGGTTATGTTTTCAAACCACTGAAAAGACTTGTATGTAAACATCCTCGGGGAAAGGAAATTGACTTAAGTGAGTATTCTTAAGCATCTCTAAGTGAGCAAAGGAAAAATACTTTAAAAAAAAAAAAAGCATAATTAGTGTTTTAAGTTGAAAAACAACCACAAAGCTCTAAGAATTGAAACAAAGATTACCTCTGATTTCTTTTTTTTTTTTGAGACGGAGTTTCGCTCGTTACCCAGGCTGGAGTGCAATGGCGCGATCTCGGCTCACTGCAACCTACGCCTTCTGGGTTCAGGCAATTCTCCCGCCTCACCCTCCTGAGTAGCTGGGATTACAGGCACGCGCCACCATGCTCAGCTAATTTTTTGTATTTTTAGTAGAGACGGGGTTTCACCTTGTTGACCAGGATGGTCTCGATCTCTTGACCTCATGATCCACCCGCCTCGGCCTCCCAAAGTGCTGGGATTACACGTGTGAGCCACCGCGCCCGGCCCAGATTACCTCTGATTTCTATGCAACAGGTACACCTGTTAGAGATCCCAAAAAAAAGGGAATTCTGAAAGTGGATCTCATTGATTTTTAAGTTCAGTCAAATGTGTTGTGGAGGCTGTGAGAAAAGATACAAACATGATTGTTGCTCCCAACCTAGTTGAGAAAAGATAGGTACTAATATTTAAATAGAGAAGTATATGAGATGCTTTTTAAATTCTACCTTTAATGGTGTTCAGTAGTCTTTTACCAAAGCCATTATTCTTTCTGCTTTGCATCTTCTTTCTTTAATCCCTTATAATAAGGTTAGAGATCCATGTTAGAGATCAAATCGTATAAGTATTTTGATTATTTTGCTTATTCGATTATAAGCCTTTTTTTCGTTGTGATGTGTTTGATATTAATTGCTAGTCAAGGTGGGTGTAGAAGTTTTTCTTATAGGATGTTTCTCTTTGAATTCATGTTGTTAAAATGATTTCTTTTGGTGGAGTGCTGATTTTCTAAGATGGTTTCATATAGATAATCAAGAACAGACTACAAACAATATGCTTTTTCCATCCTGAAGAGCAACCTCAACTACACACCAGTTTCATGCTTTAATTTCCATTTGTAATCTGCCTTCAAGAAGAAGTTAAGCTAGTGGAATTTATGTCTTGGCTTGTTATAACACAAACATGAATATTTGTCTGCTTGGCATTGAAGAGTAAAGATATTCCATAGCTGAGGATCTTAATCTGAGGTATATGTAAAGGATTCAGGGACTACATGATCCCTGAGAAGTTATATGTAAGTCTTGGCTGTGCATACATTCTTGTTGGAGTGTATTAGCACATACACTGGCTTTTTTTTTTTTTTTCAGAAGATTCATAGCTTTCATCATATTCTCAAAAGGTTCCTGTGACCCATAAGATAGTTTACACAATGGGGAAACATCAAAGTGCTTGCACAGTTGATAGTTTTATGTGTGTGTTATTTCAGCCATCCATTGTGTGCCTACCAACTGCCTAACAATGCATACATAATATAGAAGTGCTATTCTTTTCTCCTGTTGCCATATTACACATCTCATTCCACAGCAGAAAAACAACTACATGACAGAGACAATGTAGTTCAAACCGTTTTACCCTTGTATTCATTGAGTGCTACAAAAGAAGGAACATTAATTCCTGATTGTCACCAGATTAGGTAGTCTCAGCACTTCTACACATATAATTGCACTGGAAAAGTGGAATGCTAGCACTAATAATTAGATTTTGGTTTGGGGGGTCATATTTGTTTATTTTTACTTGTATAAATGTATGGGGTGCAAGTATAGTTTTATCACATGCATAGATTACATAGTAGTGAAGTCAGGACTTTTAGGGTGTCCATCACCCATATATCAAACATTGTACCCATTAAATAATCTCTCATCATCCTCCTCCCTCCCACCTTCTTTCTCACCCTTTGCAATCTCCATTGTCCATCATTCCAGACTCTGTGTCCATGTATACATATTATTTAGCTCCCATTTATAAGTGAGAAGATATACTATTTGTCTTTCTATGTCTGACTTATTATTAAGGTAAGGGCTATCCATCCATTTTGCTGCAAATGACATGATTTCATTTTTTTTAATTGGCTGAGTAACAATTTATTGTATATATACCACATTATTCAGTCATCTGCTGATGGACATCTAGGTTGATTTCCTATCTTTGCTATTATGAATAGTGCTGCAGTAAACACACAAGTGCAAGATGTTGGAAGTTTTACTTTTGTGGCACGTTGTTAGTATTTACTCAGGATCTTCAGATTTGCTTGGTTGCATGTTTGTTTACTGAAATATGTGCAAAAGTCTTTTGTGAGTTGATTTATAATATAAATCCAAAAAAGTCACATTCTGCTAAGTGTATTTTACATTTTTTAATTTAATGCCAGCAAGAAGTTACAGTACTAGAATTGCCTTACCCCTGAGTGATGAGACCATAGTATCAAGTGACTGGGCTATAACAGGTCAGTTTTATTACTTAATATTATGAAGTAGTAAGGCAAATTTAGAAATCGAAGAACACTGGTGAATCCCCATCTCTACTAAAATACAAAAATTAGCTGGGCATGGTGGCAAGCACCTGTCATCCCAGCTAGTCAGGAGGCTTGCAGGAGAATTGCTTGAATCCAGGAGGCTAAGGCAGGAAAAGTGCTTGAACCCAGGAGGCAGAGGTTGCAGTGAGCCAAGATCGCACCACTGCACTCCAGCCTTGGCAACAGAGTAAGACTCTGTCTCCAAAAAAAAAAGAGAAGAAAAGAAAAAACACATCCTCACTGTTAGTAGTAGCCCACACCCCCTTAGTTGTGTTGTAGTCTGTTACCATGTAAGCAGCCTGCTTCCATTTCCCCTAACATTCTCAAGCAGCTGTATTAGAATCATTCAAGATGCATGTTAAAATTGAAGATTTCTAAGTCTCTGGCCCAGAATTTAGTGAGTCAGAAAAAAAGGACCTTTGAGTAATCAGAATAACACAAAGTACATGAACTCATCTGTATTTTCTTCATTCAAAAAAGTGGCCCTCATTCAAGCAAATATATTCTTATGCTTTATCTTCTAGCATACCAAGATAACTTTCTAAAGTGCCTTCCAATTCCAGAATTCAGTGATACGCAAGTCATTGAACAGCCCTAACCAACAAACTGCCATTAGATGCCATACTACATTTAGCCTTTTTGTTGTATCTTCCGTGAAGCCAGAAGTTGGTCAGAAGCGCGCTCATGATCCTAGAGACTTAAGTCATAGTCCCAAGAAGCAAAAGAAAGAAGACAAGACCGGGCGCAGTGGCTCACGCCTATAATCCCAGCACTTTGGGAGGCTGAGGCGGGTGGATCTCGAGGTCAAGAGATTGAGACCATCCTGGTCAACATGGTGAAACCCCGTCTCTACTAAAAATACAAAAATTAGCTGGGCATGGTGGTGTGCGCCTGTAGTCCCAGCTACTCAGGAGGCTGAGGCAGGAGAATTGCTTGAACCCAGGAGGTGGAGGTTGTGGTGAGCCGAGATCGCGCCATTGCACTCCAGTCTGGATAACAACGGCGAAACTCCGTCTCAAAAAAGGGAAAAAAAAAAAAAAGAGGACAAAAGTAATAAATTTACCAAAATGTGCCTAAGATGCTAGAGCAATTAGAAAAAGATTCCTAATATGAGGACAGGTAAAAATAGAAATAGATATTTGCAAAGAAACAAAGTAGAGATTCAGCAGTACAGGGAGATCCTAGGAAGACCATGAGTGATATTCTAGGAAATATTGAAATAAGGCAGATTTCAGTATAAAGAGGAATATGTTTAATAAATATAATTGCATTTGAGTTAATGCATATATTAAGTCAGAATCTCTGAAATAAATTGATTGTAGAGAAACTACTAGGGAGAAAGAATCCCTTTAAGTTTTAAATACATAAAACATACCCATCTCATTTAAAAAAGGGTATGTTTATTAATGAGTGTAATCAGTTAAATATAGAGGTATCTTTCCAATTCTTTGGATTTGTTTTGACATTTGCCATCAACAAAGTAAACCTTTCATGGTTGATTAAAATAGAGAAGGCTTAATATAAGTTAGGTGACTCAGAAAACAACTTAAAAACCAAGAAAACACTTTGACCAATATAATCACTTGAATGAAGAATTTTCTAATTGAGATATAATTTACATGCCACCCATTTAAAGTGTGCATTTCAGCAGTTTTTAATATATTCACAGGGTTGTGCAACCATCACCACAATTTAATTTTATAACATTTTGATCCCCCCCCCAAAAAGAAACCCTGTACTCCTTAGCAATTAGTCCCTATTCCTAGCCACTAATCTACTTTGTGTCTCTGTGAATGGCCTATTCTGACCATTTCATATAAATGGAACCATACAATATCTAGGCTTCTTTCACTTAACATGTTTCAAAGCCTTCATCCATGTAGAATCTTCTTTTTTGTGTTTTGTGTTTGTTTTTTTCAGAGTCTTGCTTTGTCGACCAGGGTGGAGTGCAGTGACACAATCTTGGCTCATTGCAACCTCTGCCTCCTGAGTTTCAGCAATTCTTCTCCCTGAGCCTCCTGAGTAGCTGGGACTACAGGCGCACACCACCATGCCTAGCTAATTTTTGTATTTTTAGTAGAGACGGGTTTTCACCATGCTGGCCAGGCTGGTCTCGAACTCCTGACCTTGCGATCCACACACCTCACCCTTCCAAAGTGCTGGGATTACAGGCATGAGCCACCATGCCTGGCAATATAATAATCTTTTTAAACCAAACTGGATGTCTGTCTTTTCACAAACACCTTGAAATACAAATTCCTTTGCAGTTTGACACTCAAAGATGATTAGTTTCGTGTGATCTTTATGTTTCTCCTTTTTGACAGATTAGCTTTGAAGTTTAAATCCAATGGAGAAGACTCAAGAAACAGTCCAAAGAATTCTTCTAGAACCCTATAAATACCTACTTCAGTTACCAGGTAATACTTCAGTTGTAGTCAGTATAGGGTCATTTTCATACAATAGTGGTCATTCAAATGTTAGCAAATGGAAAAGGTTAGACTTGCTAGACGTTGAGATTTTTCTATTTAAGGTGATAATATGAGAAAAATTTTCATTATTAAAAGGTAATTTTTGCCAGGTGCAGTGATGTATACCTGTTGTCACTTCTACTCAGGAAACTGAGGCAGGAGGATGGCTTGAGCCCAGGAGTTTAAGGCTGTAGTGCACGATGATCATACCTGGCTATTCCACTGCACTCCAGCTCGGGCAACATAGTGAGACCCCGTCTCTTAAAAAGAAAGGTAATTTTTGAAGGCACCCTTTAGAAAATAACCAATTATTTAACATACCTTAAAAAATAAAAATACTTAAAACATTTTGGTATCTCATTGGAGGTTTTATTCTTTATTAATATTACGCATTCAGATCCCCCACTGTTTAGATATTAGAGGAAGTTGTGCAACTTTAACAGTAGAACACTTTACTTGCCATCTGTGTTCAAGTTTACCTTCTATGTCTGATTTCCAGTATTTCCCACATACACCATACTTCTTATACTACTAGTTTGTTTGCGAGCCAAATAATAATGTGACTGAAATCACAATATTTGGAAGCATAGCCTACCTTTTTTTTATTTTTTGAGACAGAGTCTTGCTTTGTCACCCAGGCTGGAGTGCAATGGCACAGTCTTGGCTCACCACAACCTCCACCTCCCGGGTTCAAGTGATTCTCCTGCCTCAGCCTCCCAAGTAGCTGGGACTACAGGTGCCCGCCACCATGCCTGGCTAATTTTTGTATTTTCAATAGAGACGGGGTTTCATGATTTTGGCCAGGCTGGTCTCAAACTTCTACTTTGTGATCCGCCCGCCTCTGCCTCCCAAAGTGCTGGGATTACAGGCATGAGCCACCGCACCCGGCCACACAGCCCACTTTATTTCTGTATAAGGGTGTCTCACCTGGACGTGGCTTCCTACCTCATGTGTATATGTGTGTTTTTGTTTTATTTTGCTTTTTTAAAAACTTGTATGGAAATGATAAGCAAAAACTCATGAATATAATACACAGGTGTTCTTGCAATAAAAAATAATTTGTAAACCAATTACGTATAACTTACGATATTATTTCTCATAGAAATAATGTAGTCCAGGTGTGGTGGTCCACATCTGTATTCCTAGCACTTTGAGGAGGCCAAGGCAAGATTGCTTGAGACCAAAAGTTTGAGACCACCTTGGACAACATAACAAGTCCCCCTCTCAATTTTAAACGTTTTTTAAAAAAGAAGAAATAATATAAAAGTTGGTAAATTGACAAGCATAAAAACCTATTTAGCCCATAATGTGACTAAACTCTAATGATGCTCTCAATTGAATCTCAATAGACATATTTTAATTTCTGTGCTAAAGTACACACCTTTCTTTATGACCACACTTCGGTGGAAACGTGTGCATTTCTGTTCTTCATGAGCCTGGCAAGGATAAAAGCCAAAAGAATGCTAGCTCCTGTGTCATTTTTATTTTGGCAGACCCTAATAGAGACTCGCCTGCTAATGTCAATGCATCAAAAGAATGAAGGAAAGACAGAAATGAAGAAAAGGATTTTCTGGAATTAGTAAAGAAATTGATTTTTACTTTTAGATTCTTCACTCTTGCTGTCATCTTATGCTTCTGTTTATTTATTTGCCCTAGTGTAGGGCCCAGATGAGGTGAAGGGTAGGATCAGGGAGAGATGAAATTGGCAATGGAAGAAGGGCTCCAAAAAGAGAGACAGTAATGTTTAAAGAGAAAGCTGTAATCTTTTTTTTTTTTTTTTTTGAGACGGAGTTTCGCTCTTGTTACCCAGGCTGGAGTGCAATGGCGCGATCTCAGCTCACCGCCATTGGGTTCAGGCAGTTCTCCTGCCTCAGCCTCCTGAGTAGCTGGGATTACAGGCACGTGCCACTATGCCCAGCTAATTTTTTTTGTATTTTTAGTAGAGACAGGGTTTCACCATGTTGACCAGGATGGTCTCGATCTCTTGACCTCATGATCCACCTTCCTCGGCCTCCCAAAGTGCTGGGATTACAGGCATGAGCCACTGCGCCCGGCCCACAGAAGCTGTAATCTTTTAATTTTGAGAGATCTCTGTGATTAGCCTCAGTGTTAGAAATTACTTGGAAACTTAGCCAGGCAAGGTGGCTCATGCCTGTAATCTCGGCACTTTGGGAGACCAAGGTGGGCAGATGGCTTAACCTCAGGAGTTCAAGACCAGCCTTGGCAATGTGGCAAAACCCTGTCTCTACTAAAAATGCAAATAATTAGCCAGGCATGGTGACACGAGCCTGTAGTCCCAACTACTTAGGGGAACTGAAGTGGAATATCACCTGAACCTGGGAGGTTGAGGCTGCAATAAGCCAGGATCACACCACTGCATTGCAACCTGGGTGACAGAGGGAGACCCTGTTTCAAAACAAAACAAAACAAAACAAAAAATTGGGAAATTAAAAGTATCAGGCTAAACACTAGCATGTCATCAGAGAGGGAAAAATATTAAACCTGTAGTACCTCACAATTAAGCCATGTATGTACTGTTTTCTATATAACATTAAGAAGTAAAATGAGACCCCACATTGAGGCTCTGTTTTTCATCTTCAAAAAATGTGTTTAAGTGATACAGGCCAGGTGCAGTGGCTCACACCCCATCACTTTGGGAGGCCAAGTGGGGCAGATTGCTTTTGAACCCAGGAGTATGAGACAAGCCTGGGCAACACGGCGAAACCCTGCCTCTACAAAAAATAAATAAAAATGAAATTAGCCAGGCATGGTGGCTTGTAGTCCCAGCTACTTCGGGAGGCTTTAGCCTAGGAGATAAAGGCTGCAGTGAGCTGTGATTGTGCCACTGCACCCCAGCATGGGTGACAGAGCAAGACCCTGTCAAAAATAATGGGCCAGGTGCAGTGGCTCACACCTGTAATCCCAGCCCTTTGGGAGGCTAAGGCAGGTGGATGACTTGAGGTCAGGAGTTTGAGACCAGCCTGGCCAACATGGTAAAACCCGTATCTCTATTAAAAATACAAAAAATTGACCAGGCAAAATGGCTCACACCTTTAATCCCTACACTTTGGGAGGCCGAGGCAGGTGGATCACCTGAGGTCAGGAGTTCAAGACCAGCCTGGCCAACATGGCAAAACCCCCATCTCTACTAAAAATAAAAAAAATTAGCCGGGCATGGTGGTGTGTGCCTGTAATCCCAGCTACTCGGGAGGATGAACCCAGTAGGCAGAGCTTGCAGTGAGCCATTGTTGTGCCACTGCATGCCAGCCTGGGCAACAGAGTAAGACTCTGTCTCAAATAAATAAAGAAGACTGTCATAAATAAGATTCTGTCTCAAATAAATAAGCAAACTAGCTTCCTTTTCATAAAAAAGGAATAAATTAGGTCATAATTCTAAAAGCCTGTCCTACTTTAAAATTGTTTATTCAAGTTCAGATGAAAAGAGTGGACTAGTAAGCAACTGAAGTGCTTTAGAATCTCCCATGACTTCCCTAATTTTAGAAAGTTGAGCACTTTATGATACAGTTTTCAGAGTGGTTGAGAATTGAGAGTTGAGCAATGCAAGGGAAGCTGTGCAGTAGATAATGGATTGATGGGACTGGATTTAGCAAGTCTGATCAATTTAAAGGCAGTTTTTGAATGTTTCTTGTAGTTAAAATACTCATTGTCGCATTTTATTTTTAAATTGCAGGTAAACAAGTGAGAACCAAACTTTCACAGGCATTTAATCATTGGCTGAAAGTTCCAGAGGACAAGCTACAGGTATTAGGCAACTCTAATCTCATTACACCCAAGAAATTAATAGCTGTCACATAAAAATACTCCTAGTTCTTGATTGAATTTAGTGATCATGCAAGGTATTATTTTGTATTGAGGTTGCTAAATATTTATTAGTTGTGAAAATTAACACACCTGAGACTTTAATCTATTAATTAAACTGATCATGTAAGTTTTGAATAGTTCCAATAAGTGAAATTTTCAATTCTTTTTAGATTATTATTGAAGTGACAGAAATGTTGCATAATGCCAGTTTACTCATCGATGATATTGAAGACAACTCAAAACTCCGACGTGGCTTTCCAGTGGCCCACAGCATCTATGGAATCCCATCTGTCATCAATTCTGCCAATTATGTATATTTCCTCGGCTTGGAGAAAGTCTTAACCCTTGATCACCCAGATGCAGTGAAGCTTTTTACCTGCCAACTTTTGGAACTCCATCAGGGACAAGGCCTAGATATTTACTGGAGGGATAATTACACTTGTCCCACAGAAGAAGAATATAAAGCTATGGTGCTGCAGAAAACAGGTGGACTGTTTGGATTAGCAGTAGGTCTCATGCAGTTGTTCTCTGATTACAAAGAAGACTTAAAACCACTACTTAATACACTTGGGCTCTTTTTCCAAATTAGGGATGATTATGCTAATCTACACTCCAAAGAATATAGTGAAAACAAAAGTTTTTGTGAAGATCTAACAGAGGGAAAGTTTTCATTTCCTACTATTCATGCTATTTGGTCGAGGCCTGAAAGCACCCAGGTGCAGAATATCTTGCGCCAGAGAACAGAAAACATAGACATTAAAAAGTACTGTGTACATTATCTTGAGGATGTAGGCTCCTTTGAGTACACTCGTAATACTCTTAAAGAGCTTGAAGCTAAAGCCTATAAACAGATTGATGCACGTGGTGGGAACCCTGAGCTAGTAGCCCTAATAAAGCACTTAAGTAAGATGTTCAGAGAAGAAAACGAATAATGTTAAGCCATTCTGGATTGGGCCTCATAGCTTATTTTAGTTAATCATTTTTTGTCTTGTAGCCTACCACCTTTTAAAAATTTTGGTCCAAGCTGCTATTCCTCAAAAACTGAGTAAATAGGTGAGTAGGGGTGATGCAAGTGATTCTGTTTCAATTTAGAAAAACCTCTATACAGATAATCAAAAGTTGGAAGAATCAAAAGAAGCCACAGTTATGTAGGTCTCATTTGAACATCATCATTACAGTGGGAGGACATTGTCACCAACTCTGCCATACTACTGTCAATGTTGTGTTTATTCTGTCAATAAAAAGGACTCACTTCCAGGAATTTTTATCTATACACTTTCTAACTGTACTATCTGGGCAGTTCCAAGGCAGTTTCTTTTAGCTAGCTGGTCCAAAGACCTCAGATTTCTTTTTTTGCTAAACACTGCTGCTAAGAATTATCTCACTGTCCTCCCTGGAAATCCCCTTACTGAATTTTTCTGTGAAAAGGCTGATAATGATAAACAGCACTCCCATCGTTTTTCTTACCATTTTCCTTTTTTCCTTCCTCTCCACCCCACAGATTTTGCTTTTTAACCAAGGTGTCTTTGCTTGATGAAATTCACATGCTAGTTTTAATTCTTTTTTTCTCCCTTGTAATACAACATTTGTGTGCCCCAAACTGGTTAATTTCTGGGTACATCATTGCCTGTCCAATTGGGAAGTAGAAAAAGAGTGTATGGGATATTTTAGAAGGGAGCCTTTGAACCTTATATTTCCCCATCATTGATAGTGACAATCTTAAAAGGGTTTTCTTACCTCAAGTACAAAAGTATGGGAAAATGCCCTTTTCCTTCCCACCCACATCACTACCCCCCTTGAAGATAATAGGTGCCAGAATGGAAAAGGAGTAGGCATCTTTAATCTCCCTGATTAAATGAAAGAAAGTGTTAGCCTGAGAGTGCCTGACTGAAAAGTAACCAAAAGCATACTATCAAGCACTACTTAGCTTTTTAGTGCCTTAACCCTGACCCTGTTACCCATGTTGTGTAATTTCTAGACCCCAGCCGCTGAAGTTATATGTGTCCCAAGAGGCAGGATACACACAAAAAAGATACTGATTTCAATATATAAATAGTTGATATCCCAAAATAAAAGTTTATGTTTCCCTTAGAAATATGTTTTGCTACAGAAGGAGCAGCATTGAGAAAGGAAAACATTAACAACAAAAAAAGAGAAACATTTTGCTTGATTGGTTCTATAGTATGTTATTTAGGATCTATTTACCATATACTTGTATGAGAAATCCCCACCCAAGCATTCAACATAAATCTTTGAAAAGTTGGGTGCTGTTTTTATTAACTTTTAAAATAGTTTAAATCTCCCATTTTAATAGTTAGAAGCCTCTTAAAATCATGGATATTGATGTTGTATGGAAATGTGAACTTTATGAACCCCTACTTTTTTTTTTTTTTTTTTTTTTGAGACAGAGTTTCACTCTTGTTACCCAGGCTGGAGTGTAATGGCACGATCTCGGCTCAGCGCAACCTCCGCCTCCTGGGTTCAGGCAATTCTCCTGCCTCAGCCTCCTGAGTAGCTGGGACTACAGGCACGTGCCACCACGCCCAGCTAATTTTTTGTATTTTTAGTAGAGACGGGGTTTCACCATGTTGACCAGGATGGTCTCGATCGCTTGACCTCGTGATCCACCCGCCTCGGCCTCCCAAAGTGCTAGGATTGCAGGCATGAGCCACCACGCCCAGCCTCTTAATAGATTTTCTGATGTTTTTACGAAAACACATTTATGTTTGATAACAAAAATGAAAGTATAATAATTTTTTACATTTGTTCAATTTATTGAACCCTGAAACTTAGCTGATTAAGGTTCGAAAAGCTCTGTGAATAGAAAGTGAACTGGCATGGTGGCTCACACCTGTAATCCCAGCACTTTGAGAGGACAAGGCAGGCGGATTACAAGGTCAGGAGTTCAAGACCAGCCTGGCCAATATGGTGAAACCCTGTATCTACTAAAAGTACAAAAATTAACTGGGCGTGGTGGCAAGCACCTGTAGTCCCAGCTACTCGGGAAGCTGAGGCAGAAGAATCACTTGAACCCAGGAGGCTGAGTTTGCAGTGAGCTGAGATTGGGCCACTGCACTCCAGCCTGAGCTACAGAGTAAGACTCTTGTCTAAAAACTAAAGTAAAATTGTAGCATTTAGGCCAGGCGCAGTGGCTCATGCCTGTGATTCCAAGACTTTGGGAGGCCGAGGTGGGTAGATCACTTGAGGTCAAGACTTCAAGACCAACCTGGCCAACAGAGTGAAACCTCATCTCTACAAAAACAAAAATTAGCGGGGCATAGTGGTACATACCTGTAATCCCAGCTACTCTAGAAGCTGAGACATAGAATCACTTGAACCCAGAAAGCAGAGGTTGCAGTTAGTCAAGATGCCACTGTACTCCTCCAGCCTGGGCAACAGAGAGAGACTCCACCTCAACAATAAGTAAGGCCAGGCACGGTGGCTCACACCTGTAATTCTAGCACTTTGGGAGGCCAAGGCAGGCAGATCACAAGGTCAGGAGATTGAAACCATCCTGGCTAACAGTGAAACCCATCTTTACTAAAAATACAAAAATTGTATTCCCAGGTGCTTGGGAGGCTGAGGCAGGAGAACTGCTTGAACCCAGGAGGTGGAGGTTGCAGTGAGCTGAGGTCACGCCACTGAACTCCAGCCTGGGTGACAGAGCAAGACTGTCTCAAAAAAAAAAAAATTGTAGCATTCTATAAATGTAATAGCACTAAAGACATAAAGTATCTAAAATATAAAGTATATAAAATTTAAGACAGTTATACCAGTTAGGGAAAAATCTGAATATAAACTCTTGATAGTTCAGAGGAAGCGAAGAGAATATTCAGCACCATGAGAATGTCATTAATATTGGAGGAAATTCTTAGTTTATTGAGACTGCAAGTCACTTATGAGTATCAATGAGGAAGTTGGAAGAATTTGATGCAGTTTCCTGTGTTACATCATGGCTCCAATAGGAACATATTATTTAGCTAGTGACTGCTGCAACCAACCAAAGATGACACCAATAATTCCCAGCTTGATTGGAATGTCATAGCATGTATGGACAATTCATGTTGCCTGATTTATTGGATCTGTCCTTTCAGCCCATCTTGCACATAACTGCCAGATTACTATTATATTTCTGTTCAGAAATCCTTTACAGGACACTTTAGCTTCAGTCGAAGCTCTCTAGTCTGCTTCCCATCTTATCTCCCACCATTCCTTAATAGCCTTTACTTCACCTAACCCTATCTATCCATTCTTAAGATATCCAGCCAGCCACAGTGGCTCAAGCCTGTAATCCCAGCACTTTGGGAGGCCGAGGCAGAAAGATCACTAGAGGCCAGGAGTTCAAGACCAGCCTAGACAACATGGTGAAACCTTGTCTCTACAAATAATAGAAATAAAAAAATCAGCAGGTTGCTCCTGCCTGTGCCTATCAGGTGGATCACTTGAGATCAGGAGTTTGAGACCAGTCTGGCCAACATGGCAAAACCCCATCTCTACGAAAAATACAAAAATTAGCCAAGTGCAGTGGCACATGCCTATAGTCCCAGCTACTCAGGAGGCTGAGGCAGGAGAATCACTTGAACCCAGGAGGTGGAGGTTGCAGTGAGCTGAGCTTGCACCACTGCACTCCAGCCTGAGCGATGGAGTGAGACTCTGTCTCAGAAAAAAAAAAGATATCCTACAAGTTCTTATATTCATGCCTGTGTTCATAATATGTCTTAAATGTTTCCCCAGCCACTCATTAAATGTGCTTTATCTCTAACTTGAAGTTGTAATTTCTTGCTGAAAACATCTCCAAATCAAAATGTCTGTAATAGGCCAGGCACGGTGGCTCACACCTGTAATCCCAGCAATTTGGGAGGCCGAGGTGGGTGGATCACGAGATCAGGAGTTCAAGATCAGCCTGGCCAAGATGGTGAAACCCTGTTTCTACTAAAAATCAAAAATTAGCCAGGCATGGAGGTACATACTTGTAGTTGAGCTACTCCAGAGGCTGAGGCAGGAGAATTGCTTGAACACCAGAGACAGAGGTTGCAGTGAGCTGTGATTTCGGCATTGCACTCTAGCCTGGGCAACAGAATGATGAGACTCCATCTCAAAAAAAAAAGTCTGTAATAAATAATAATGTAACTAAAACAAACTAATCCCCTTTAGCCAGATAGAAAATGAATAAGAGAATGATCTTAGCTAAGGATTTAATAGAGACCTTACAAAGCAAAACTTAAAGATGGCCTTTGGTTGACTAAAGTCCTTCAAATGCTATGACTGACTCAATACAAGGTCTTTTTGTTATGCCTACAAACGCATTGCACTCTGATGGTGAGGTGCTGGCTTCATAGTAAGGCAGCTGGAAAACATCTCTTTAACATGGATTCATGGCAGTATTTTTCCACTTCGAATAATGTAGCACATCCTTTAAAAGAAAAACAGGCCGGGCGAGGTGGCTCACGCCTGTAATCCCAGCACTTTGGGAGGCCAAGGCGGGTGGATCACGAGGTCAAGAGATGGAGACCATCCTGGTCAACATGGTGAAACCCCATCTCTACTAAAAATACAAAAATTAGCTGGGCGTGGTGGCACGTGCCTGTAATCCCAGCTACTCAGGAGGCTGAAGCAGGAGAATTGCCTGAACCCAGGAGGTGGAGGTTGCGGTGAGCCGAGATCGGGCCATTGTACTCCAGCCTGGGTAACGAGAGCAAAACTCAGTCTCAAAGAAAAAAAAAAAAAAAAACAATATTTTTGGACCTCTACTGTTGACCTAGATTATTTTTTGTTTTACTTAATATATAAGAAGTATACTTGCCAGGCACGGTGGCTCACACCTGTAATACCAGTACTTTGGGAGGCCAAAGCAGGTGGATCACCTGAGGTCGGAAGTATGAGACCAGCCTGACCAACATGGAGAAACCCCATCTCTACTAAAAATAGCCAAGTGTGGTGGCACACACCTGTAATCCCAGCTACCCTGGAGGCTGAGGCACAAGAATGGCTTGAACCCAGGAGATGAAGGTTGCAGTGAGTGGAGATCACGCCACTGCACTCTAGCCTGGGCAACAGAGTGAGCCTCTGTCTCAAAATAAATAATTAAATAAACCTGCCAGTGGCTTCTGTGACCCAGAGGTGAGATGCCCCTGGCCACCTCTTAAATCTTCTAGAAGGCCGGGTGTAGTGGCTCATGCCTGTAATCCCAGCACTTTGGGAGCCTGAGGCGAGTGGATCACCTGAGGTTGGGAGTTTGAGGCCAGCCTGACCAACATGGAG